TAAACATTTATTTTGTATTTGGTTTTGAACAGAGTAGGAGTATTTGAAATCCAGCTTATTGCATAATTAATCATTTCACAAACACAATTCTATGTAACAGGTGACCTTAAGTCTTGTATAATCATTGTGATAGTGCTTATATTTTTCATAGCTATTGTGTTACACTATTGAAAAGTGACATTTTTATTTGAATGTATGAAATTTTCTTATGAAAAATGTAGTTACTGCTTGTTTTATAAATATTCATATAGCAAACATGATATGTGTATATGTGTTAAACTGAATTACATAAAATTCCAGCGGGAAATTCATTGTATCGATTGAAGGAAAAATTGTACATCTATGCAACTGGTGACCCTTGATACTTTTTAATACTAGTTTATGACCAAAAGGGATAAACATTCAAAAGTAAACAAATTATAAAAATTGAAACCATGCTGAACTCATGAATTACATTTATAATCTTTACTTGTGAAAAGTGCCAGATTGACAGAACTAAATCCTATGCATTGAACCAATAAAGCATAAGCAGGAACATCAGAGTAAGAGATTGTTTTTTAACATCACATTAAAATGTTAATGTGCAGTGCTGCTCTGGAGGGACCAGTTCTGGAGGGTAAGAAAGTAGTTAAGGCTGCGGAACTGCATTTCATTAATATATTTTTGGCATTTATAAACTATTGTTGTTGAGAAAGCAATTGATATCATCTTGACTCATATCAAATCACTTAGGTGCTTGATGTCTGGAGATATTAGACTTCAAATCTTCAAATGAGGCAGTCTTCACAAGTGATTGAGAGAAGGCCAACAACTCCTTGACGCCGCTTTATATAGCGGGCTTGAGATTTTTTCTTCTGAATTTTGTGTGCTGGAGTTGTAGGCCACGATTCCAGATATCAGTATTCAGTCACGCATTGTCCTCTATGCTGCTGACATTAAGCTCTGAGTACCAGCTTTGTGTGCCCTGCATTGGGGAATTCAGTATCTTTTTACCTCAGCTGGAAAACACTAGGGCTATGTCTACACTCGCGGTTTCTTGGGCAAGAACATCTTGCGCAAGGAAATGTCCACACTGCCATGTGTGAGCTGTGCTTTTGCGCAAGAGCACCCATGGCAGTATGGACGCTCTCTTGCACAAGAAAGCTCTGGTGGCCATTTTAGCCATAGGGCTTTCTTGCACAAGAAATCCTTTTTGAGCGTCCACACTGCCTGCTTGCGCAAGAGCTCCTGCGCAAGAGGGATTACACCTGTTAAAAAAAGAGCGTAGCTCTTGTGCAAGAAGACCTCTCTTACCACGCCGTACTGTAAATTTCCTTGCGCAAGAGCGGGCGGGCAGTGTGGACACTCTGCAGATTATTGCGCAAGACCGGCCATACTTGCGCAAGAAGCCGTGAGCGTAGACCTAGCCTATGGTTCTGGAGCGTCAGCCCTGGAGCAAAGAGTCAGCACTCCTGCTGCAGGAACTTGAACTCTTAATGCATGCACCTTCCTGAGCTAAATATTCAAGCACAGCCATTGACTGTGCTTCTTACAGCACTTTCAGTGTTCTAGGGTTCCCTGTTAACCTGGAGACAACTAAAGTTGTTCATTTAGGTGCAGGCTGAGGACCAGGACAGTGCAGGCTGCTATTTGGAGTTTGATACACTGGAGGAATCTTTCATCTTATCTGCTAGGAATGAATACTAAGGGTATGTCTATACTAGCCCCCAGCTCAAACTAGGGAGGCTAATGTAGGCATTCGAAGTTGCAAATGAAGCCCGGGATTTAAATATCCCAGGCTTTATTAGCATCTTCCCATCCAAGCACCATTTTTAAATCCCCTTAGTCCGCGGCTACACGTGGCAGTCAAACATTAACTTGAACTAAGTCCTTAGTGGAATGAGGTGTAACAGTTAACTCGAACTAAGGACTTAGTTCGAGTTAACGTTTGACTGCCCTACACGCGGCAGTCAAACGTTAACTCGAACTAAGTCCTTAGTTCGAGTTAACTGTTACACCTCATTCCACTAAGGACTTAGTTCAAGTTAATGTTTGACTGCCACGTGTAGCCGCGGACTAAGGGGATTTAAAAATGGTGCTTGGATGGGAAGATGCTAATAAAGCCTGGGATATTTAAATCCCGGGCTTCATTTGCAACTTCGAATGCCTACATTAGTCTCCCTAGTTCGAATCTTGAGCGCAAATTACCTTTGTGTTTCAAATGAAAGAGAGCCTGTTCACACATGTAAGTGGAGCCAAACATTGAAAAGTAAGGCCAAGTTGACATTCTGCATGGTGTTGTGTGTGACAGGAAGTTCTTTACAAGTTTGCAAAATCAGATTATCATCGTGTTCCAATAGCAATACATTCTAAATCAGAATTCAGCTTGACTAATTTTTCCACTCAACTATCCAGCTTTTTGAAATCTGCTATTTCTATTTCCAAATTGCTGACTGAGAGGCCTGAAATGAATGTCAAATCCAGTTCTTCAATGGATGCTTTATGTGAACAAATCATAATCTTAAACAGAGCACTGTGTTTGCAAAAGGACGGAGAAGATAGATGATTGTTAAAATAAGCAGTGTGTTTAATATACAGTTAAAGATGAAATAGACCAAAAAATCATCTTGACATGGGTAATTACACATTTTTAAAATTTTGAATTAATTTTTCATTTTTACTTAAAGGCTACGTCTACATTGGCATGATCTTGGGCAAGAACTCTTTTGCGGAAGAGAGCATCTACACTGGCATGTGCTTTTGCGCAAGAGATATGCTTTTGCACAAGAGCATCCATGCCAGTGTAGACGCTCTCTTGTGCAAGAAAGCTCTGATGGCCATTTTAACCATAGGGCTTTCTTGCGCAAGAAATTCATGTTGCCTGTCTCCATTGGCCTCTTGCGCAAGAACAGTTGTGCAAGAGGGCTTATTCCTGAGCGGGAGCATCATAGTTCTTGCGCAAGAAGCACTGATTTCATACATTAGAACGTCAGTGTACATGCGCAAGAGCTCGCGGCAGCAAGTTTTTGCGCAAGATCACACCAATGTAGACACAGCCAAAAAGTTGTGTGTATTTTGGCTCTGTTATGAGCCATATTTGGCTCTAGAGCCATAGATTGCATACCCCTGAGCTAGAAGGTAGGAAATTGGCTGGCTGAATTTTAAAGCACTTCACCCAGGATCTTGAACAGTGAACCTGAAATTTATTTGCAGGAAAGGTTTGTAAGCTCAAGGTCAGGCAGCCCTTAAACAGAATAGGTCTTAGCCACACAGAACACCAAGAGTCCTAACATTCCTTTCAGCAATCACCATAAAGCACTAATTATATTAACACATTGGTATCAAGGCTAAACATTGGACTCCTCCCAGTTTCTTATCTTAGTTTCTTCAGTCTTGCTCTGTTGCATAACACAATGAGTCACACAGCAGCATCGGATAAACTCCATGTGACTGAAAGAATGTGAATAAAATTAATTTATCATAGCGGGAAAACAGAAAAGAATTGAATGATCAGTCTGATTGGGATTTTTAGGTTGTTGATAGCAGTGAGCTTCTTTGCATTGCCTTTTCTCAGCAGTTAACCCTATGCTGCTTTCAGAATATTTTCTTTACCTGGACTCCTCACAAGTTCTTCAGAGCCTGTTTTGATTTTTCAGAAGTCTCAAGTGGTGGTAAGGAATCATCCTTTGTCTTGGACTTCTAAGTACATGTTACGTCTGCTGCCTTCTTTATGCATGCCTTGACTTTTCTGCCAGCTGTTACAGTGAAAAAGGTGTCTGGGATTATTACTGCCCCAGGTTGTGCTGCAGCTGACTCTTTCTAGTCCCCCTAATCCTGTTTGTGAATTTTTAAATTTATTAGCAGTACAAAAACTTTTCATCATTTAAGAAACTAAACTAAATTCTACTTATTCTGATAGAATTTTTCATGTTGAAGAAATTTAAATAAAATCCAGTGCAAATGTGCTGCCTCAGTTGTGCAGTGTGTATGATGTTGGTTTCCCCTGTATACTGAGGGTATGTCCAAAGTGCAGTTGGAGATGTGATTGCCGCATATTGAGATATAATTGGGTCAGATACCAGTAATAGTGAATGCCTGGTTGTGGTTCCAGGACAATGGGAGGTACCATGCTGCCATTCACGCAAGGCAGCACACAGAGCCTTCCTGGCCATCCAGACACCTACCTGCTGGAGCCCTGGGGAACCAGGATACATAGGGAGTCTGTGTTAGCCAGAGGCACCTGCTGTGCTGTTAAACCTGGATGTCTGGAAACTCTACCAGCATCTCCTGATACTGAATAGCTTTTCCCTCAGGGTACAGGAGGCAATGGCAGGGCAAGCAGAGGGAGTTGGGTCTGCAGATTAAAGTTATCTCCGATAGGTCTGTCTATATTGAAATCACACCTCCAGTGGCATTGCAGCCACTCTAATGTAGAGCAAGCCAAAGTTATGTAGGAAAGTTACACGTGGCACAGATTTATTCTGGACATCTGCACTGAATTTGGTGACAATGTTTACTGAATTTTTCATAATCAAAAATGGTCTTAAACTTACTTCATCTTAGCTTCAGAAGTACATACTTAGAATGACTACCCAAGGTGCAGGGCAACTTCACACATGCAGAATATTCTGTGAGGAAAGCTTCCTGACTTGCAATATGGTAGAAGTAGGAAGCAAACATCCAGCACAGTTTGAACTCTGCATGACAGCTACCTTTACTACAAGCCTCCCGAAGACTTAATGTACTGAAGTGCCTGCTGCCAATGTTCCTCTCCTAATAAAGGGGCTTCTACGGCTTTGTCTACACTGAGAGATAAGATCAAATTTACTAAGGTCTATTTTCTAGAATGCAATTTTGTAAAGTAAAAGGTACATATCCCCACTTCGTGCAAGAATTCAACATGATGCCTATGTCTACACTACAGGCTTTTTCTGGGATACCTCTGGTATCCCAGAAAAACTGTGCCACATCCAGGGAACGTGTCTGCTCTTCTGAAATTTTTTTTGAAAGAGCAGACGCATTTTTTTGGCATTTCTGTAAACCTCATTTTACAAGGAAGAAGGGATGTTCCGAAAACAGGTTTTTTTCTGACATTTAGCCCAGTGTAGACAGGCCAAATGTTGGAAAAGCCACTTCTGGAAAAAAAGAAGCGAAAAAGCTACGCAGTTTGCAATTTGCTTAGCTTTTTCCAGTAGAACAGCATAGTGTAGACATAGCCAATGTGATGTAGTGCATTCCCAGTCGGGCGGCTACTGTTGACTTTGTTGACTCTTTACATTATGGTTTATGCTCCACGTACACACTAGAGCCAAAACTACAGAAGGTAGTTCTGAATACACTTAGGCTACGTCTACACTGTAGACTTCTTTTGGAAAAGTTTGTGCAAACGAAGGGCAGAGTGGAATATTGCCACGCTTCATTAGCATAATTAATTAGCAGCTGTTTTTGTGCAAGAGGCTTTTGCACAAAAAGGAACTGTGTAGACTACTCCTTTTTGCGAGTAGAGATGTAAAGGAGTAGTCGACTAGGTTGACTACTCGCATTTTCCCTCCACTTGCTGCTTCTATGTCAGAGGCAGCAACAGGTAGGGAGCAGGAGCTGGCTTAAAAGCCGGTTCCCCCTAGCACCATCTCTGTGGTACGGCCCGTTTCCCCACTCCCCACCACTGCTTCCTCTATCAGAAGCATGGGATAGGGACTGCTGCTGCAAAGCAGCCCCTGTCTGTGGTGACTCAGCCGTAGGCAGGTGCTGCTTCCCAGCAGCAGTCTCTGTGTGCGAGAGGTCCCAAATCCCCCTTGTACTCCTGCGCACAGGGGCTGCTGCCAGCTGGGCAAGCAGCTTGGCTTAGTTTCAGCTCGCACCGGGTGTAGGATAAAAACCCATTGCGGCTCTGCAATTTAAAACGTAATAGGAGCCAGGGGGCAGGCTGCCCTCCTCCGACTGCCTTTTAAATTGCACAGCCGCAGCAGGGTTTGGTTCTGCATCTAGCACAAGCCAAAACTGAGACAGGCTGCCTATCAACTAATCAAATAGTTGATTGAATTTTTATTGACTATTTGATTGATTAAATACTCGCATTTTAACATCCATAGTTGCAAGTGTTTTGGAGGATAGGTTAATAATTCAAAATGATCTGGACAAACTGGAGAACTGGTCTGAGGTAAACAGGATGGAGTTTAATAGGGATCAGGGCAAAGTATTCCACTTAGGAAGGAACAATCAGTTTCACACATATAGAATGGGAAGTGACTGTCTAGGGAAGAGTACTGCAGAAAGGGAACTGTGGTCATAGTGGACCACAAGCTAAATCTGAGTCAACAGTGTGACACTGTTGCAAAAAAAGTAAACATGATTCTGGGATGCATTAAAAGAAGCGTTGTGAGCAAGACACGAGAAATCATTTTTCCGCTCTACTCTGCACTGATTAGTCCTCCATTGGAGTATTATGTCCCGTTCCAGACACCACAGTTCAATAAAGACGTGGAAAAATTAGAGAAGGTCCAGAGAAGAGCAACAAAAATGATTAAATGTCTAGAGCAGTGTTACTCAACCTTTATACACATTTATAAAATTTGCAGATGATACCAATTTGGGAGGGGTTGCAAGTGCTTTGGAGGATATTATTACAATTTAAAATCATCTGGACAAACTAGAGAAATGGTCTGAAGTAAATAGAATGAAATTCAATAAGGATAAATGCAGAGTATTTCATTCAAAGCAACAATTGCACACATACAAAATGAGAAATGGTGGCCTAGGAAGGAGTACTGCAGAAGGGGATCTAGGGGTCATAGTGGATGACAAGCTAAATGAGAGTCAACAAGGTAACAATGTTGCAAAGGTGGCAAATATTCTGGGATGTATTGGCTAGAGTGTTGTAAGCAAGACACAAGATGTAATTTTTCTGCACTAATTAAGCTTCAGCTGGCCACATTTCAGGAAAACTGTGGACACATTAGAAAAAGGACAGAGAAGAGCAACAAAAACAATCAAAGGGCTAGAAAATATAACCTATCAGCAAAGACTGAAAGAGTTGGGTTTATTTATTTAGAAAAGAAAAGACAGAGGGGACACAAAAAGGGTGTTACAGGGAGGAGGGAGACAAATTGTTCTCCTTGCCCTCTGATGATAGGATAGGAAGCAATGGGCTTAAATTGCAGCAAGGGAGATTTAGGTTGGAAATTAGGAAAAACTCCCTGTCAGGGTGGTTAAGCACTGGAATAAATTGCCTAGGGAGGTTGTGGAATCTCCATCACTGGAGATATTTTAAAAGCAGATTAGATAGACATCTCTCAAGGATGATCTGATGGTGCTTGGTCCCGCTGTGAGGGCAGGGGACTGGACTTGATCTCTCGAGGTCCCTTCCAGTTCTAATAATCTATGATTGTGTCATCAGTGTCCCATAATATGCTCATCTCCCACCTACCCCTCTTGAAAGCAACAGCAAACAGTCTTTTTGCACCCTTTTTCCCCTTAGTTATCTGTGTAGATGCCATAGCAGAGTAAGCATGGAACCCATTTAGCAGCAGAGTGCTGTGGAGATGTACAGGGAGGAGTCCCGTTCCATCTCCAGGCACATTAACAAACTGTTCAGGGAAGCCCGAACCATATAGGCTAAGTGGCCATCACAGATCACATCCAATTGCCATAACCCACTTGTAGCATGATAAAAAATGTTAACTCACCAGAAGTGCCCACCCTGACATCAGGGCCCAGAAACAAGATGTCCTAGGAGGAGGAGATTGTTGGTGAGATCAGTGTCCCTGCTTGCCTACTGACCATTCTCCTCTTCCTCATTCACACTGTCCACCACGCTGCTACCAGAGGCTACCTGAGGAGTATCTTGGGAAGAATCCATGGACTCGGTGGGAAACTGGTCGGGTAACACCCCCTCCCTCCACACACCCCCATGATCTCATGCAGCTGCTCATAGAAGCAGCATGTTTGTGGCAGAGACCCAAACCATCCTTTTGCTTCCTTTGTCTTCTGATATGCCCACCTCAGCTCCTTTATTTTCACATGGCATTATTGGCCATTATCCTTTCTTCTTCATGTTCTTTGTGATCTTGGCGTAGATATCAGTGTTCCTTTTGCTGTTTGTAGTTCCTCCTAAACAGATTCCTCCCCCACACAGCAGTGAGGTCCAGGTTTTCCTGCATGCTCAATGCTGGTGCTCATTTGCAACTGGGCATTCATGGTCAGGTGTGTTGCTTGCTCTGATGTCTGCTCGCTACGCTGGCCACACAGGAAATGAAATTCGAATTTTCTTGGGGCTTTTCCTGTGCTCCTGGAGAACAGTAGAGTTGAAATTTCTCACCAAAGTGGTAACAGCAGGATGGCTCGAAGGACAGTTTTGACCCTTCTTAGAAGAGAGAAGGAACATTCTCCACTACAGTTAGCAACCATTAGTGATAAATAATGCAGTTTCAACATTTGGGAAACATTCCATCACATTGGATTCAGTGATAAGTTGGTACATCCAAATAGATAAGCTTTTGTCATCTCCGATCCACTATGACTCAAGAACATCTCAGTACTTTGTCCCTTTTGAGCACTGAGAATAAAATTGACAGATCTTTGAATTATGATGGCATAATTCATAACTTTGCAACAGTTAAAGCTAGGTAAACAAAATTGTTTGGAGAACTAAGTAGAATAAATGTGTTAATTTTACATACATATGAAGACCCTTTTATCAATATGTGATTCATACTTAGGCCCTTCCCTCCCATTAGCCTTAGGACCTCATAACCTGAATCCAGCCCTGCCCAGCTGGCATATATTTTGCCTTCTCATAGCTCAAGATACTTGGGGCAGAGCAAACCAGGTGTTGCAGTTTGTGGACTGAAGTACCACAACCTGAAAGAAAGAGAAGTTGAATATATGTGCAGTCATGATCACAGAATCAGTGATTCCAACCTTCTTTATAAACAGGTAAATGTACAGCTTGAAATGTTTCTGGATAGCTGATCCAGTCTTTATATAAAATGGTTCTTTTATATAAACTCAACAAGCACCTTTTTGCTTCAATGGTAACTCTCCTTAACTTTTTGATGTCCTATGTTTACAACACTTTACCAGTACCTTTCATATTTTACAAACAAAAGCAAATAACATTGCATATAGATAAGTGCATATTGGAATGAGTAAATTAGGGGAGTTGACGCCCACTTAACTAGGCAGTGGCTTATTAGGCTGCTGATCTGAATAAGCTTGATCTTGCCTTATTTTAAAAGTTACGTAATTTAAATTTTGTTAAGTAATAGCATTGTTACTTCAAATAGTCTGGTAGCACTTTATAGACTAACAAAACATGTAAACGGTATCATGAGCTTTCATGGGCACAGCCAACTCTGGTCATCTGAAGAAGTGGGCTGTGCCTACGAAAGCTCATGAAACCATCTACATGTTTTGTTAGTCTATAAAGTGCTACCAGGCCATTTGTTGTTTTTAAAATTTATCCTGTTCAGCCGTGGTCACCAACCTGTCGATCGCAGCCTGGAGCCCCCTCCCCAAGCCAGTGTCCACTTCTCCACCTCCTCCTGCATCCAGATTTCCTCCCAGAGCTTGCACCTCTCACCCCTTCCCACACCCAAATCCCTCATTCCCACCCCAGAGCCCACACATCCTGTTTCAACCCAGTGAGGGTACAGCTAGAATGCAGCAGTTTTTCCAGGATTCCAGAGATATCCCAGAAAAACTCTTCCGCATCCAGGGACACGTTTGTTCTTCCACTTTTTTTAGTGGAAGAGCAAACCTGCTCTTTCGGTAACCCCTGTATTCCTTGTTCCACGAGGAATAAGGGACATTTGGTCCAATCTAGACAGGCCAAATGTTGGAAAAATCTCTTCCTACAGAAGAATCGGGAAAAAAGTGGCAGTGTAGAGTGGATAAGTGTGGGGGATAGCTAGTGATGGACAGGAGGAGAATAGAGAGGGTGGGGCTTCAAGGAAGGGATGAGGTCTTGGGGGAAGGCTGGGGTGGTAGATCTTGGCTTGTTCTGACATTTAAAAAGTGATCTTGGGTGTAAAAAGGTTGGAGAGCACTGCTGTACAGACTAACCCAGCGACCCCCTGAAGCTATTATTACTTCAGTACAGTTCTAAAATAGTTGCTTTGTTTGTAGGATTAAACTGATTAAAAACAAAACAATTATTTTATCTATTTGGTAGTTATTTCAGATAGCTTGTAAATAAGGCCATGTTTACAAAATGGGGAGGGAAGGGAACACCAACACAAGAATCAGTTCGGCTACACCAATATTAGCTGGTGAGAATTCTAGTTCAGAGAAGACTCCAATAGTTCTTGGCTCTTAACTATGAAATAGGGTTGTAAATAGTTTGAAAGTCACCAGAGCCTTGTCTTTAACACTGGATCTGATGGTGACATCAGTGATAATTTTTCCCTAAAATTACCAGAAATGGTATGCTGTGAATATTTATGCAGCTGCTTAAGTTTTTGTACAATAATAGTCCTATAGACTTTAATTACATTAAGCATGTGTGTAAATATTTGTAGGATTAGACCTCTAGTGTAGACAACACAGGAAAGGCCTACAAGCAGCCACTGAATTATTCCTGCATCTCCACAAAAACAAAAGAACGTCTGAGTTCCTGCAACTATTGCCAGAGGATCCCCAATTTTAGCTGTGTATGTAAATGCTGTTTTCAAACTGCATCAGATGCTGAATGAAACGATGTAATAAGCATTGAAGACTCAGTAGCTGATACCTTGCTGCTTGTTCAAGCTAAACTATTTAAATGGGGTTGCTCCTCAGGGACATTATCATCTGTTCCATAAAACTTCCACATTTTAATTCCAAAACCAAGATTTGTAAACAATATCCATCCCTTCTAATTAGGGTGACTATATTTGTCTATGCTGAAGATGGGACACCTGGTAAAACTACTCTTATTCAAGCAGGTTCATTGGCAATCAATCAGACCCAGGAAGTACAAATGTTCAAATTAAAATCAACTTGACCGAGCCCCTGTTAAAAAGAAATACTATGTAGCTGATTTCTTTTTATTTACCTTCTACTGGGTCTGCTGGCCACCCTTTGGTATGAGCCCTGTCACAAATCCAGTCACAGCGCTGGGTACCAGGAGAGGCGTGTCTGTTGTGGGGCCTGAGCCAAGCATGAAGAGAGGTCACACACACACAGAGACTCCCATACATCTCTCTCACACAGGCTAACTGACTGAGTCTCCCCTCCCTGCCCGGTGCTCTCCACTCTTCACGCTTTGCCTTTTAAATGCATTAAGAGCCGCAGCAGATCTTACTACATTCAAAAAGCAGACGTGCAGCGTCTATATGTTCATGAAAATATACTCTGCTCTAGCTATCAGGGAGAAGTAACTAAGACCTTTCTCATACATCTCTCTCACACAGGCTAACTGACTGAGTCTCCCCTCCCTGCCCGGTGCTCTCCACTCTTCACGCTTTGCCTTTTAAATGCATTAAGAGCCGCAGCAGATCTTACTACATTCAAAAAGCAGACGTGCAGCGTCTATATGTTCATGAAAATATACTCTGCTCTAGCTATCAGGGAGAAGTAACTAAGACCTTTCTTACATATACTTTTATCTAATTTCTCAATCCTTTATTAAACCCAAAACCATAGCCTGCTGAATTGGACAGTGATTTTATAGGTCTGTTTATGTTAGCAAGTGTTGATGCATGTTTGTTTATAGTAACTCAGCTGTATAAGTATTTGTGAGATATAGGCCTTTTATTATATGGGCTGTGAATATAACAATGTAGACTCTGTGAAAGATACTTCAGAATTGTGTAGAATGATCCCGAATCTTGTACATTTGATAGCTATCTGCCCCAAAGGAAAAGGAGAATACAGGCAGTCCTCGGGTTACGTACAAGATAGGGACTGTAGGTTTGTTCTTAAGTTGAATCTGTATGTAAGTCGGAACTGGCGTCCAGATTCAGCCGCTGCTGAAACTGACCGCCAGTTCTGACTTACATACAGAATAA